TAGAGTATAGTCAGGTTAAATATACTAAAATGTCACGTTATTTAAGTTAATTAAGTACGTTTATTCTCTATTTAAAAATATATCGAGTTGTTAGTACATAGAATAGTAAAAAGCAATTTGAATTATTATATTATTTAGAAGGGGAAAAATAATGATGTGGTTATTAAATTTGTCTTGTAATGTACGCATATGCTTTACTTTAATACCATTTATAATACGATTTTAAATGAGGACACGCAGTGTAATTCGCAAATAGTAGTCTATTAATACTATTTGTTCGAATAAAAGTCTTATGAATTTTTAAATTGCATTTGCATTTCGCAGTTCTAACTAGCATGAACGTCTATTGCGTAAATAGCATCGAAGTTTAATGTCCTACATTTGGTTACATACTTGTGACATTAAAGCAGTTTGCACAGAATATATTATCATATTTATACGTAATGATATGCGCGTTTCATGCATGAGAACTGTTAGTTATATACATTTATTTCAATATGTATCAGTATAATGGGTTTCGTATTTTTTACGATCTGTTTATTCAAGGTTACATTTATACATTACATACATACATATAAATTTTTATTAATGAAAATGACATCTATGGAATCCAAAGTTATATAACAACATTAACTCAACTAGTTTGCAAACTTTCAATATTTCCAAGTATTTACGTTGATATCTCAACTTCTTCAAGTTAGTAATTGATCTAGAAGTTTCGTAAAAAATCGAGTGATTCTATAAATTTTCAAGTACTTGCAATTTAGTAAAAGTCTTAAATAATGTTAGCAAGGTCATCGCAGAACTTGATCAAATGATTAAATGGCGAAGGTCTTCGTGAAGGAATTTCGTGCCCGATCACTTTGTTATAATGCGAGCTAAACAACATAGTTACATACCTCGATACGCTTGTTATTATTAATTATTACCTTATGCATGCACCTGAAACTTTTCAAAATTTATACGTCAAGTGTTTAATAACCCTTGCAGACTGCACACGACGGCGAAGTTTATGCTGTAAAATGGTCTCCGACCGAGAGGATGCTTGCCACCGGTGGAGCCGATAGGAAGGTGAAGCTTTGGAATATCTCGAAAGGTGATTAAGTGAAACAAAATTGCACTATTAGTGGGGTCGTCTGCGATTCGAACGTTCGTCACGGTACGCGTGTCACAGATAAACGAGTGATTAATCAAGGTAAACGATTCTTTGAACGATCTCCGCTACGCAAACATTGCGTACAAGCGCCGAGATCCCCATGTGTATAATCTATTTAGTGGCCTCTCGTCATTATTCAAATTTGTAACGGGCTGCAATAGACCGCGTAAATTATTACGCCGCTCTCGTTTTAGTCACAAGTCTCGCAGGGTTTGTCATTCGTATTCATTGAACGTCACAAGAGTTACGTTTCGGATTAAACGCGGCGATATTGAACGGCGTGGGGATATTGATCTCTCTCGAAGCCAATGTGACGTTTGAGAGTTTTTGAAAGCTTCAATGATAATTATTCATAATGCTGACTGTCGCACGACTCTGTCACGGAGCATCACTCTAATGGTATATCAAATTTCCGTATTCTAACGGGGCTACGTTTGGCCAATCAAGCGATACGAAAGTCACTTTAAAATTTCATTAAAACTTGGCTATAATGGGCCAATTAAAACTTTGTTGCCGTCTTTTGTTCATGAATACGTGCTTGGGAGACTTCACTTTCGGACGACAAGAAGCCAACTGTGTGGGATGTAACCGAGTGTTCGCTACGAGCTGTAACGTCAAGTAATTTTATTAAGATAATTAAATGATATTCCACAAAAAAATTTAGACACGGTTCCATTAAATGCCAATTTTATTTTACGCGATTTATTATACGACCGTAGTATCGCAATATTGGAAGTGCATGCAAGAGTGTAGTAGAGGGACGTTACGTTGATAGGAATAGAAGATGACGCATTAGGCGAAGCGTATCGCGACATGTTCTGAAAAGGTTCTTCTCTGAATGAAGTATGTTAACGAATCAACAGGTTACTTGCGATGCGTTAGTGTCTTGCATGGTCGGGCTAGAGCTACGCGATTATTAAGGTCCAGTCGGCCGATAGAAACGTTTTCTCTACTATGGCCGAACGATCGCGCGTGCTATAACGTGCTTTAAACGTAATCTCCGCGCCACGTTGCAAATTGGATGAAACATCCGTCCGTATTGTTATCGGCTTATATCCGCTTAACCCGTTTCTCTGGCAATATTCGACGTTTTCCTTTTCCTGCATTTCTATACAGCGCCGCATCTTTTATTTTTAATTCACCTCTTTATCCCTATTGTTCCGTTAAATGACACTCGCGGTTCCCTTTGAATTTCGTAGTCGATCGACTCGATTAACAACAGAAAGAAGAACAAATGGTAGATTTCTACATCGTGTAGAAGCGATGAATAAACAATGCCAAGGGGAAAGGAATGAACGAAGATGAAGTTGTCTTTGTTGATAAATTTAGATTTATGGTGAATATTGTGTTGCAGGTGCTTCAGAGAATAAGGGAATACTTGTTGGAAGTAACGCTGGCGTGATGTGCGTAGATTTTGATTCTACGGGAACTCTGATCCTTGCGGCGTCGAACGATTATGCTAGCCGAGTGTGGACCGTCAACGACTTTCGACTAAAGGTAAGTCGAAATGCTTGCATGATCTTACTCAAACTTTACTAATCTCGAAACGATATAGTACTTTTTTCTACTTGTACCATTACTTAAATATAGTTTATTTGAATTCGAATATTGAATGACACAATGGCGAGCATACTAGTTCGCGAATCCATTTTAATTTTTTAACTTTATTGATTTGTTTTTGAAGTGTTAAAAATGTGGACTCTCCCTTTCAAATTTTCACCTTTAAATTCAATTTACAATTGGATATTCACTGCTACATATCATTTATGCTTGTAATCGTGATATGCCGCACATTTATGTTTGCAATGAGAAATATTGCCAAATGTTTATCAAATCGATCAACTATAAACACAGTTAAGTTATTTCCGAGCAACAATGAAGCCATGTTAAAACAACAGATTCTAGTTTTTATTTTTATATCGTTGTACGTAATACATATGTATGTCACGCTACGTTGACGAAAAAGGAGGGGAACGTTCGATGATGAGGAAGGAACAAGTGACCAAGAAAATACGATGATGGAACGTGTTGCCCTTATGAAAATATAGTTAGCTCCGTGGATATATTGTAGGAAGTGTACGAACACATGTCTAGCAAAAAATGCATTAAATTGCAGGATTATTTGAAGGCTAAATGGTCAATACTAGAATATGAAATTTAACACGTTGCGGTTCATGTAAATCCGCAGTCGAGAGATCGTAAAGCTAACGACGACTCGGAAAAATCATTGGAACAGAATAGTGCCGTGAAATCATTCGAGCTGGTCTTCAACGTTATTCTTGTCTCGTTGAAACGTCTATGCTTCTTCGATGCTTCCGTAATCTTTCACGGAAGAATAATACTGTCTCTTCTCGTCGATGACGTCGATATTCTCTCATCTAAAGTTTGTCCTAGTTTTGTTCTCCGTCGGCTCTTCATATTGGTAAGGAACTGAAAGTTTCGTGGTTATCTTCCCTGCCGGTACTGTCCCTCTTCTCTTCTCTTTATGCTGCTCCCTCGAGATCTTGTTGAAAGGAAAGGAGTCATCAGTAGAATGATTTTTCTTTCTTACGTGTTCGGTCAAGCTTCTCGCGCCGAGATGAAAGATATCACGTCGAGCACGTGGACACAGGATTTTTATGAAAGCATCAATTGTTTTTAAACTTGCGTATCAAGGTCGTAGCTGTGCCATTGTACTTTGTTACTCCGATGAGATCGTCAAGATCGCGTGCCTACATGTCGACGTCGTAGAACAGTATCTGACGACTGTCGTGAAGTTTCTAAGCTAGTTTCAGGTAGAGAGAAAGATTTAGCGTAGAAATTGCGGTGTTATTGTTCTCTGATGTCCTCTTACTCTCCACACTTGGTGAGATATGATAGCAGAAACGGTGTTGTTGCAAACGGTGTTATTGTTGTTACAACTGAACGTTTACTTGTACAATATTTTCACTAGAACGATTGAATCGATAGAAACTAGAGCGTGAAATATTTTTACCCTGGAATTGGAGATTTCTTCTAAAGACTGCCGAATATACAATTGTAAGGATAAAATGTTATATATTTTCATTGGGCTTTTACCCAGCACGATATATTTATGGACAAAATTTGGAAAGATAAAAATACTTTGTACTACGTTTCACGTATATGGACGACACAGTGTATCACTCTCCATCGAGATAACGCGTTAAGGCAACGAATCGAATTTGTCCGTTCGTAGCAATCATAGTCGGGGGCAATCTTAGTCGTCAAGAATATGTAAGCGTGTAACAAGCGCGAGCCGTGTCCGCGAAAGGTAGATTGGACGATAGCGTGACTTTACAATTCCATGACATACTTGATAGTGCGTTTCTAAGTTGCATTGTGAGGTTTCAGGTTGCTTGCTATGCGGTAATATCGCCGTTTATAGCCCCGCGGTTGCCGATGGAATACAATGTGTAATATATCTGTATGAAGGACGGTCGGTGTATTGTTCGCGTATCGTTGGACATGTTAAATGTGATTATTCGTCGCCCTCGGATCGTGACTGTTATATACGGGTATTTCATCCGTTCGGAGGTCTTCCTCTCGTTTCTCTTCCCTTCGAGCTCGTTTTTTCACTGTTTTTCACCGTCCGGCGCATTTCCCTCCCCCCTGGCGTCCCGTTCGCTTCGCGAGCGGGTCGCGTCGAGAATCCACTCAGCAGCGGCCAGTCTCATTCTAAAGATTGGCGGCCAATGGCGCGTAAACTTACGAGAAACACACACGCGAACTGTGAAGGATTCGAAGCGTAGTCCAGGCCACTCGGCGCTATTCACGGACGAAAGGTGCGAGAACTGACCGCCTGATGTTTATTCTCCTCCGCCTCGTCTTCAGCGGTCTACAATGTTTCTCGGATGTTATTCCCGCGCGCAGGAACCCTTGATCAATTTCTTTACGTAGCCAGCCAGTAGTGTTTCTTGCTGTAACTCTCTCTAGCAAAGCCGGACTACCCTGTTGTGTCAACGCGTATGTTATGCATGTATGTATGTATGTATGTATGTATGTATGTATGTATGTATGTATGTAAGCACGCCTCCCATTCCGTAAATTATCGTTCCTTTTATTCAGTTTCTCGTCCCGCGGAGGCGCGTCCAGGAAATACACAGCAACGTTTCCTCTCTCGCGTCGATTATTCAAAGTCAGAAGCCGGTGAAAAAGAGAGGGACAACATGAATTGAAAGAAGCTGGCGCGCAATTACGGAATTTCAATATTTTCCCTAGGGAATCGGGATCACATCGCTGCCTCGGTAAGACACGGGATCATTCGCGGATAGATTTCATTCGAACGGATATGATGGATGCGATGGAATTCATGAATAAAGTTTTTCCCTTAATCATAGAGTTACCTGTACTTTTCCCTCGGTTTTTCTGCTCGCGGCTCTTTTTCTGCGGCGGAGGCAGGCAGGCAGGCAGGCAGGCAAGGGAGAACGAAGATAGAAAAAGAGTTCCCTACCACAGGTGTGGTAGAATTGAAAGCCATGGGTTATCGTTATCGTTCCTTTCTCTCTCTCTCTTTCTCTCTCTCTCTCTCTCTCTCTGTTCCGTACTTCGGTTCGGCGGCTCAGACGAACTTCCTCTTTTTGCCGCTGACCTCGCTTCCTAAATTTTATATTTGTCGCCGGGACCCCTTGTTTGTCACCCTCCTGGCAGGGAAACGATGCGTTAAACGAATATCGATGGTATTGGAGGGTACCTGGCCAGAGCGATAATGGACTCAATTTCGCGGCAGTAGGGCGCCAGTCGTTTGGATTTCTCACGTCCCGACACAGTATCGATTCACCGGGCCGAAGCCCTCAGTGATTTCCTGGTCGTTCACCATTGTGAAATCGCCATACCTTTTACACTTTTACACTTTTCTCTCCAATAGTGGCGCGAGCTTTCGCGTTCCTTTTCATTCCTCCTCTTTGTTCGCGGTTGTAAATAACAGCCATCTTTAATCGTCGCTACAAAAGCATACTACAGCTGTAAAAGTATTTGTACTTTGTTGTCGGAAAAATTGTTTTTTAATAAACTCTCTTTCGAGGATTGGCCAACTTTTATAATAAACTCTATGCATTTCTGTAGTCAACTGAACCATCGATTGTAAGTTGTAATGACTCTTGATTCGTTAATGGCTGCTTCATATTTCGATTTCCTTTTCACTTTTCTTTTTCGATCGTTGCTGAGCCTGTGGCCGTCAGCCATATAAAAATATATTCTCGTACAGGGTGAAGTTATCCATCCAAATATCCTTACTGCTGTTTCTAAAGGCATCGAGAAGAAATGTTCGTTTTGCAAAGTCCACAGCGTAAAGAGCGCCATTACACGCTGATAGCAAGCTTTTTCACACGGAAATGCATCGGAAACGTTACCCCCATTTTCTTAAATCACACGCTGCGCCTTCTTGTTCGCAACGTCAGTGCAACAGCCACCATTTAGAAAATTTCAATGAATTATAACGCGAGATCATTAGGTATCAAAGAAAAGACTAAAATAGGGATCGTCGGGAGAGCTCTTGGAAGCGATGCCCATTTCCATTCAATGCGACGATCATCGACTCGCGGAAGCGATTTATTTTTGTCAATTTGATTGTGCTAAGCGCTGCAATGATTCGCCGTTCGATATTTCTTTGTTTGGTGAACTTGTAATTACTTGAAGGATATTTCTCGACAGATAGTCTTCTTCGATATTACGTCTTTCATCAGTTAAAAAATCGAGAAAACTAGCTACCGTGCGATGAATATGACGGACTAGACAACGATAAATTATCGTATCATACAACATTTGACAAATTATAAAAGGATAGAATCCAGATAAAATCTCGAGTAAATTTTACGATAAAATCATTACCCTGTCTCGTGTAGCTCTTAACATAATGAAAGAGCACGGACGATTTCAGAAAAGGGACATACAAATTAGACAAATGTTCGTACTCGAGCGAGAAAGGGGAAGAAAAAAAAAAAAAAACGGATAAACCGGTTCGGCTAAAGCTGAAACGTTAATTCAGGAAACACGAAGGTGTTCTCAGGCGTCATCCAGTAA